GAAAAACTAAAGAAAAGCTCAATTAAAACAAAAATACTATAAAATAACTAAAGAAATAATCAAAAATAATTAAATTTCCATTCCTGCTCTTTGTCGAATTTATCTTTTTCCCATTTTAATTTTTCTTCTTCTATTTTTAAACGTTTTTGTGCTATACTTACCGATTCTTTTTTAGCTTTTTTCAATGAGTTCAGTTCATCCAAATAAATTTGGTCGATTTCGGAAACTTTCCGTTTTTTTTGTTTTGAAGTGGTGATGGTGCAATTTTCATCACTTTCAACAATCTAAATTTTTAAAAAAAATTTATAATTAAAAAAAAGACTTTGATTAAAACGCACCTATAGTGTTTTATGCCTATATATATGGATAATTATTTTTGAACTCAGACCAACTTTCTATATATAACGTAATAACATTTTGGCCTTAATTCAAAAATAATCATCCATCTCAAAAACTGGATAATTAATTGGTGTGAGGTGTTCTAAGTAAAAACATAATAGGGCAAAACTACCAGAGATGCGTCCTATAACGATAATAAATGTAAAAAAGACTGTATTTAATATGGTAAGTAGATTATTATTACAGTCAACTCTCGATTTTAAACAGTCCATTTCTATATGTAAAAAATCGGTTTTTAAACCTTAAATTTAAATTGGTTTGTAGCTTTGTGTTCGTTTTTTACAGAGTCTATTAAGGATCAGATTAGGAGAGTTGACTGTATAACAATAATGAAGCTTGAAAATTACTCTTATTCCAATATATTTCTAACCCTAGAACTTGTTATTACGTAGATGCAGACATATTATAACTAGTTACGACCTTATTACATAAATATGTCTGCACCTCTACTTGTTATATCAAGATCGTATGGTATATTTAATATTACCTTATCATCAATACTAGAAACTAAATAATCGGGCTTCACATTCTCTCTATTACCGAATAATTCATTCATCTCATTCAAATATGGCCACTTGGACCTGGCCTTTCCCGTTTCTTCTTTATTTTCTTTTTCATATCTTGTTCTAAGCGATTGAATCTTCGAATCAACTTGCAGACTTGTTCTATTATTACCAATATTAATTGCTGCTGCAGCATAAAATTTGGGTCTATTTTTACGATATAGATCAAAATTTTCACTAAGAAAAGAAAGCAAAGCCCTGGTCTCGGAATCGGTCCAAAATTTACTACTGGGAATAAGTTCATTTGAATCTAATTCACTTTCTATACTACTAATTTCATTGGGAATTTGATTTTGAAAAGACGACGGTGTACAATTAACAAAACTCAGAGTATGAATTTGATCCATTGCACGAAAATATTGGGGAAAATATTTGCGAAGATATTTATTTGACTAATATATATACTTTACTTTTACACATATTAATATCTAAATCAAGATTTCTATAAACTTTAACAATTATTAGTCCAAACCATTCGCATTTCAAAACTATCGCTATTATTAAACTTAAAGTTTTAATAATTATTTATGCAATGATATCGAAAATTATTCGGAAATTTTATCGTTTATTAAGCATATTATTTTATCTAACATTGTATCGGCTAAACTAAATAAGGAACCTTCTACATTACTATATCGGGAAAGTGTTATAGTGCACCCTCCAAATTTATTTATACAATACAGTACCGCTGAAAAAAGCCACTGTTACCTACTCTGTACCCTTACAAAGTTTACTTAAACCCCAGTATCCACTTTATGGACTTTCAACAATACTTTGATGCTAACTAACAGTGCTCTAAACTTCTAATTCAGATAGCCCAGGAGGGACCAGTGGGCATCCTTGATATTCTCAATAAATTTTTTGTCCTCTGGCTAGTCCGGTGGCCTGATTGGTGTAGTACTTGCCAAACACTTGATTCTCATTTAGTTTACTGCTATTGTCTGGTTCCCCAAATGATAATCCTTTATGTAATACAGTCAAAGATCTGTGCTACTTCTCTACTCAAGATTTTCTAAGTAAGCTTCTATATCCTGATCTCTTAGATTTATTTGGCTGCTTCACTTTGGCTTTGTATAACTTAAGCATTGTATTAATATTTCACAACCTCTCAGTAAAAGCTGGTGTGATCAAAGTTACAGATACTTACCTGATCAATATATTATACAGTTTTAGTATAACACATTCTGTAAATTCAAATTTTGTTGCCAGTAAGATTTAAACTCTTGTCTTACTACTTGGGGTGCAACAACTTACTAACTATACTGAGTCACCACACCCTTAATATTGTACTATTAAATAAACTCTTCTACTTATATTCTTAAGTATTTGTAATCTATTATAATATTAATAAATTTTTATTATAAAATTTAATATTTTTCTTATAAATTTTCTTAAATTTTATTATATATTTTATATGTTTATTATATATTTTATCATTTTATTAGTTTATTTATATAATTTATAATATATTTTATCTATTTTAGACATTTATACAATAGTTTATTACATATTTTATTAGTATACTTTTTACAAAATTCTATTTAAAGCAATATTTGCTTTAATATTTAGATTATTAGTTTGTTTAATATAATGGTATACAGAACAAGGCTACACAAGTAACACAAGCACATGTGGTGCTCCAGGATGCCCTGTGACCTTCTAAAATGATGTATTAATAGTTATTTAATTGTATTCCTAATTTTAGAAATAATAGTATTATTATTTAGTTTATAGTATTATCTTATATTATTATTATATAGCATTATTAAACAACGTTATTTTATGTTGTTATCATTTTTATAACTATTTTTAGCATTAGTATAGTATTATAACAACTTAAATAATAGTATATAGTATTATTGCAATGATTTTTAATGATTTATATTAGTAATATAATGATTTATGGCATTATTTTCTAGCATTATTTTATGTTGTTATTATATGATGTTATCAAAAGATATATAAACCCTATCTTTCTCTAAGGCAAAGAGACAAAAAAATATATGCTCCACAATTATTTCTTTGAATATTTATATCACTTCTGGATATATTTGACTCTTTTTTCGATTATTTTCTTGTTAAAAAGCCTCTTTATTTGTATTTTATTAATAATAAACTATAATTCTATAATATTTTTATAGTAGGTTTATTGTGTTTTTATAGTAAAATTATTGTTTTTCTATTGATATTTTGATTTATACTTGAGTAAATTTAATTATTTTTGATTATTTCTTTAGTTATTTTATAGTATTTTTGTTTTAATTGAGCTTTTCTTTAGTTTTTC